ATGGGGAGTGATCCGAAAAGTCAGTACATACCCTTGACCTGGAATTGAACCGAAGACCCCTTGGTTTGAGGAACGATGCCCTAACCACTGAGCACACTGGCCAGGGGAGTTCTACTTTTTTATGGATAGATTTTCAGTTACATTACAGAGGTACCTGTGAACAGGATGGGAGGAATATTTGCATTCATCTTTGCAAACAGTCTACTACAGACATACAGAATGATTCATTAAAAAAGGCAACCAACAAATACAAATTTAAGTTTTTCTTTCTGCTAGCCTCTGAGAGATGGATGGTGGTGGTAGGGCACAAATAGGGTGTTTTAAAAATAATGTTTTCATATCTGCTTCCACTTCACAGTTGTTTCTACCATTTGAAACCATCTGGTAGGTCCCATATCAGGGATGAATTACAGATTGTGCTTTATCATGGTCTTTCAAAAACTTTACTCTCTTTTGTGGAAGGAAAATAACACATTTTCCCTCCCGTCTCCCCCAATATATTCACATCATTTATGCAAGGAAAACAGAGAGAAGCTCTGGATATTGGCACTTCTCCTTTGTGCTTTAGACTAAAATAAATGACATCATAATTGGAACTGTTTTTTAAATCTCATATTCACAGAAAGGTATGAAGTACCACTTTTCATAGATGCAGAGTGCCTATGTATTAGTACTTGATTTTGCTCTCTTTCTTCTTCCCAGAGCATGCCAATGCCTCTCCTCCCTCTTTCGTCCCTCAAGGTGTGTATATCTTTCCCTTTCTCCTAAGCTTCAAGGGCCCTTCTACTACCCCTGTAACTTTCTAAATAAACTTTCCCTTATAAAAAATGTATATTATCAAGAGTTTATAAAGAAAAGTGTTTTCTACTTTCCAGAAGTCTTCAGTCCCCAAGAGGTGATATTCAAGCCTAGGTTAGCCAGAATGGATAAAGTTAAGCAGAAAATTAAGTTATATGAATAATTAATGAAAACACCTCAGTTTCACCAGAATTTCCAGATAGTCAATTCAGTTCGAAACTTTATTCTATTTGAGAAACGATCTTAAACTAAGATTTTGAAAACACAGGAACGGTAGCTAATTTCTTTTTAAATGAGAATTCCTGATTTGTCAGTGATATCACTTTCATTACTGGTGCGTTTCCCTGAGCAAAATTCAATTGTGCCTTAAAGCTTTTACCCAGTAAATCATAAAGCTTGTGGTAGTTCTCTTTTTGCTTTCCTTCTCCCACTCCCAGTTTACCATTTCCCCCTTCTCCCAACTTCTCTCTCAACTTAATCTTCAGGAAAAGCTTTGGAAAATCTATTAGCATACAAAGAGCAGGCCTTTACTTGATCCTTTTATGGCACATTATACTTTCTCAAACCACATACAGCTCCATTTTCTAAAGCACCAACAAGTCTTATCTGAAAATATCATTTTATAGACTAGGTAAATTTTTTTGCCAAATATAAAATGACAGACTTATAAGCCAATTCATGATGAATATGGGAGCTAATTAGCAACTTATTCGCCGGAAGCCGGTCCATCCTTGCTGCTTGACACAGTCGCTGCAGGAAAGAAACATCTGCACAGCATATGTTTCAAGGGACCTGGCCTATATAGCATACTGTTCTTAGTATGTTTGCTCCCCTTAGCGCTGTGTGTTTTAACCAAGGTCACCTTTCCGAGAAAGGTTGTTTCCCCAGGTAGGGATTTTTCCCTGAAGTTAGGGAGGGAATAAAACACCTTCACTAAATGCCAGGCGGGTAGTTAATCACTTTAACTATGAACAATCATGCTTAAGCTACATAATCTTTCCTCCCTGGAATGGAGATAACAAAAGATCCTGGACAGAACCTGGTGACCGAACCTGGCTGGAGAACCTACACAGAACTTGGCTGGAGATCCTGGCTAGGGTGCTGATCAACTGAACGCTGCCTCTGTGCCATTCCTTCTTCACCGACTCCGTCCACACCTTTGGGGACCCCTGGACCTGCTGGGGCTGGACCCCAGCACTTATTCATCACTACTAAAATAGCTTTCATTTTTGTAACTTGTATATAAATAGTTCATTATTTTAAGAGAAATAATGAGGAGAAAGAAAATTGCTTTTATTGATCCTTTCTTTGAACTTAATTCTGAGTTATTTGTATCATCTGATGCAACTGGTGAACTTGAAAAGACAAAGCTGTCATTGAATCTGAGCGCTAGAATGCACTCCAAAGATTGCCTGGTTCAGTTCTCTCATTTGAGACCTAAAGGGGTGAAAGGACTTGATCAAGTTCATACTACTAGTAATGGCAAGTATAACTAGATCTAGAATTTTGTTCTTTCCGAGTTCCTGCCCAGGTGCCATACTATTATAGTAGTACTATAATAAAATTTTTGGTACTAAGAAGGAAGGAAATGGGATAAATATTCTGGAAGAAAGAACAGGAAGCACATTTCAACCCTCAGTGTTGTATTTTGTAGTTTAGCTCATGATGTTAAGCAAAAACAGTTGTGGTCTATGACTCTTTATTTCTTAAATTAGGGAACTGAAATAAAATAAAACAAATAGTATTTTAATCATAAAACAAATCTGTCCTTTTCTATAAAGATTATCTCTTCAAATATACTAGTAATATGTTATGGAAGAAGATCATATTCTCAAGCTCTGTCTTGTTCTTTGTTGACATAGGACATTTTCTTCCTAAATGTAAGTGAGGTCCTAGCCAGTTTGCTCAGTGGATAGAGCATTGACTTGCGGACTAAAGGGTCCCGGGTTCAATTCCAGTCAAGGGCATGTACCTCGGTTCCTATCTCCTCCCTGGCCCCAGGCTCCTGGCCCCCAATCGATGTGTTTCTCTCACATCAATGCTCTGTCTTTCCTTTTCTCTGATACTCTTTCTAAAAGTCAATGGAAAAATATCCTTGGGTGAGGATTAACCCCTTCCCCAACAATTTTTTTGTTTAAAAACGTTTCTTTTTCAGACTAATTTTTTTATTTTGGTTCTATATAGTATTTTTGATGCTGGTTATGAAAATAGTTTGTAACTCGTCTTCCTATAAACCATATTTTTTTACCATATTTTCTTAGTATACTCGTCGACGACTGAAAAAGAACATTTTGTGAAAACGAGTATACACGTTTCTGCCGGGGAAGGGGTTAAAAAAAATGTGTGAATGGTGATTTAAAGATAATTATTTTTCTCTATTGGCAGAGTAGCCAAATAACCATCCTGTATAATAAAGAGTTAATATTCTAATTAGACTGGAAGGCGGAACAACCTTCCAGAATAACCATCTGGAATGACCAGTGGGTGGGACTGCGGGGCCAGGAGGGAGTTAGGGCTGTGGGGGCCGAGCCCCTTGCACGAATTTCGTGCATTGGGCCTCTAGTTTAATTATATTTGGAAATAAGTGGATACAGAAACCATGGTCCTCACTAGGTTTTGAAAATTCTAGGTGAAACACTGGGTTGAGTAAATATAAACCATAATGATAAGTGCCATTCAAAATCAAAATAAATAAATTCTAAATTCTTTTTAAAAAAAGTTATGAACCTTTGATAAGGCTATCTTATAAAATTTGTAGTGTGAAATGAAAAGCAGCTATCAGAGAACACATAAAATCCAATCAGAAGTCCAACAGATTTTGTTTTCTGAGTGGGACTGCATTGAGTTGAAAGCTCATTCACAAGAATAAAATTGGGAGCATTCAAAACAATTTTTAAAGACTATAAGCACCTTGACCTATCAGAGATTTAAACTTACTATTAATTAACTGTAATTACAAGGTTATAGTATTGAGAGGAATGACATATATCAGTGAGACAGAAAAGAGAGTTTAGAATCAAGAAAGGTAACATGTAAGGTAACTTAACATTTCAATTCAGTGAGAAAATGATGGCATGATTGGCTCTCCATTTGGAAGAGAATAAAGTTAGAGCTCTCCTACCTCCCACCATAAAAAGTTTCAGTTGAAGTTTCAAATATTAAAATAAAATCCCTCTATATGATATTAAAAGAAAAATTTAATAAATATTTTTTAATACCTCAGGCTGGGGAAGCTTTCTGAGTAAACCCTGGAACCATAAAGAAAAAAAATTATATTTGTTTCCTTAAAGAACAACATCATTAACAACAAAACCTTCCCAAAGCTGGAGACCATATAAGCAAATTGAAAAGCCAGAAGAAAACACTTCTAAAATATTTAACCCTTTGAGTGCCAACCAATATCCTAGGAACTATGCTAAAATTGCCAAGGCATTTTTGCTGATTTTACAACATTTTAGGAAAAAAATTATGAATTGCAAGTAAATGAAGTTACATATTCAAAAACTTACTACATTCAAAACCTTTACTACATTGACATATTTAGCAATATCATCATCACTAATAAAAGCAGACTTAGAACTGGACGCCATTTCAAAGCTTTGATAGCGCTCCCGGCACTTTTGGTGAAAGACAGGAGGAGCACGATCGCTCTCCCCGGCACTCTAGGGGTTAAAGAAGGTTTGTCATATATGGCCTTTATTACTTTGAGATATGATCCTTTATTCCCACTTTGCTTAGAGTTTTTATAAAAAACTAGAGGCCCAGTGCATGAAAATAGTGCACTCGGGAAGGGGTCCCTCAGCCCGGCCTGCCCCCTCTCGCAGTCTGAGAGCCCTTGGGGGATGTCTGACTGCTGGCTTAGGCTCACTCCCCACCTAAGCCAGCAGTCAGACATCCTTAGTGATGCTGCAGAGGTGGGAGCACTTGCCAGCCGTGAGCCTGGCTTCTGGTTGAGCGGTGCTCCCCCTGTGGGAGTGCACTGACCACCAGGGGCAGCACCTGTGTTGAGCATCTGCCCCCTGGTGGTCAGTGCACGTCATAGCAACCAGTCGTTTGGCCTTTCGGTCGATTTGCATATTAGTCTTTTATTATATAGGACTAGAGGCCCGGTGCACAAAAATTTGTGCACTCGGCGGGGAGAAGGGGTCTCTCAACCCAGCCTGTGCCCACTCGCAGTCTGGGACCCCTCGGGAGATAACGACCTGCTGGCTTAGGCCCGCTCCCGGGTAGCAGAGGGCAGGCCCAATCCCTAGGTGCAGCCCCTGGTCGGGCTCAGAGCAGGGCCGATTGGGGAGTTGGGGTGCCACCCCCTGTCATGCATAGAGTAGGGCGGATCGGGAGGTTGTGATGCCACCCCCAGTCACGCACAGTGCAGGGCCCATCAGAGGGTTGGGGTGCTGCCCCCTGTCACGCACAGTGCAGGGCCCATCAGTGGGGCTGGGGCTCTGTACCCTGTCACCCACAGAGCAGGGCCGATCAGGGGGTTGGGGCACTCCCCCCTGTCACACTCAGGGCAGGGCCGATGGGGAGGTTGTGGGTCCAC